AGAGCTCATCGATCTCAGTTCGAGTCCCATCAGACTCAACCATCATCAACTTTGCCCCCTTCTTCTTCCACTCCTGAGGACTCTTCTTCTTCTTTGAGTCATTCCCTGAGGTGGGTTGAGCATTGCCTAGCGTGGCCTCTAAGTCTTAAGGCTTTCCTAGACAATGTCTCAAATGAGTGGTACTCAGTGCGTGCCTCACTGGCTAGTAAGTTCCGCATGTTCTCAGGTAGACATTTAACAAACGTGGTCAAGAGGAACTGGTCACTGTAGTTGATGCCTGGGACGAGGATCAGGCTCTAGACGGTAGTCGTAAGCTCCCTAACTGACCTGAACTTGCGTTGGTCAAGTTTGTTAATGGCAGCAGTGGCCCTTTGAGCCTCCTGTGGGTTATGCCATCGAGCTTCTACCATCTCCATGAATTGGTCTAAAGTCAAAGACTTAGCCCAATCTGCCATGCGTCACCCGTACCCGGCTTTCACAACTACCCCATCTAACCATTTGGCTGCTTTACCCTCTAGGTAAGATGCCGCAGTTAGCACCTCATCCTCTGGCAAGGTCCTTTTGGCCTTCACCCAAACCGGGACCGTCCTCAACCATGTGTTGAGTTCCTCGTCCTTTCTCTCGCCTGAGAAGGCAAGAGGCGGTTTCATTGGGGTCTTGGGGTACCATTGACCTTGCTGCTGTCCGAATTGCTGAACAGGTTGTTGTGGTGATGTAGCAATCACCACTGGACCCGAAGAAGAAGATGCAACAGTCTGTGCTGCTGCTGCAGACGTACCACTTGGCTGTGTGCCAGCTTGTACGGCAAAGGGGCCTGACATCGCCGTTAACGGCAACGGCGATTGTGCTGGTGGCCGGAATCCTGGCTTTGTCAATGCATCCAGGATCTGGTCTAAAGTGCTTTGCATGAAGTCCATCCTGCTGTCCACATGCGCATGCAGCGACAACATGTTGTCCCTCAACACTTTCAGGGGGTCAGACAAACTTGATTCATCCAATCCCTCTAACGCAGCCTTGTCAGCCTCTAACGTATCAAGTCTGGGTGCTCTACTTTTTCTCTCTTTTTCTCTATCGGTTGCTTTCTTCAGATCCTCCTCTAACTGCTGGCGGAGCCTCTCGACCTGTTGGATCTGTCTGAGCTCCCGCTCTCGTGCGGTCATGGGGCTGAACTGCGAGCCTGCCATTTGACCAAAAGATCCTCTAGAACCTGTAGACCCGGAAGTGCCCAAGGAACTCGTGGAACTAGTTGGCATTCCCACACCCATCCCATTAGTCCCTGACAAAGCTGCAGAGGATGCTGCTGAGCTAGTCATGGCTGCTGCCCTAGCTGCTGCGGCAGCCTGTTCCCTAGCTGCGGCGTTTGCTGTTGCTCTCGATGCTGCGAGAGCACGGGCTCTGCGTTCGGCGCGAAGTTGTCTTAATTCTTCCTTGTCCAAGGTCCTGAACACGTGCGGTACCCTTAGTGCCTGTGCACGTGTTAATCTTCTAGTGTCTGCTCTATCATGAACAGGTTCTGATCCACTCATTAGTTAGGCAGATAGTTTCTGCACTGGAATCCCCTAGTGGAATCCTACCACAGCATGTATCTGACCGGCACCTAATTTTCTAACAATAGTTGTGTCCGGCGAGTATCGTACTATACCGAATCAAGTGGCATGTCTACAACATTCACACAGATTGTCTACATTGTCTAGATGCACCCTGAATGGTTCACTTACAGCAGCGTTAGTTAGAACTGGCTATGGTAGCATACAACAGTCCTAAACTAATCCGTCTGTGAGGTTAGCAGTCCGTCAACCAACTAATCAAAGTACAAAAAGACAATGTTGCAGATGTATGATGGATGGGTATTGTTGTGTTTTCAGTTGAGCACCAATTGGAACCTACCCTTCCCCTCAATCCAACCATCCGAACAGCATCATTGAGCAGGCAGTGTCTTCGTGTGCATGTCGGCCCACCCCTGTGCCCAAGTTGTCACCGAGCAAGCCAGCCCAACCACTCTTATTTACCCTCGTACGGCGACGAGCCTTCCTGTCCATGTGATCTGGCTGATCAGGAGGAATTTATAGAGCGCCCCCATCTCTTCAGGAATTATTTAACGTCGCAGTCAGGACGACGATCACAGAATGACAATGAACTCCCAACCAGAAATGTTTATAGACGGTCTGGTAAGCGTCTGTCATGGGCTGGCACACCCGGAGGAACTTCTATCAGCGCAGCAAGTGCCAAACAGGACAGCAGCCATCGCATGCGTGCACTACTCCCTGTGGGTTGGCATGGTGACTGTGACCCAAGTGCTTCGACCAGGGCCCTTCAGAGGCACCGCCCTCTCCTTCCAGTATGCTTCCGGGAAGTTTGTCGTCTCTCAAGGTAGCGCGCTCACGACACCTCACCAAAAGAGAGGACTCTCAAGTTGGACTCACTTCCTCACGGTAAGAAGAGATTGAGAGAGTAGATAAGGTAAGGGAACAACGCACCTGGAGATAGCTGCCCCCAACCACAGATATCTCACCAATTGAGCCGATGTTGCATTTGATGACCGGTCATGACCTCGGTACCACCCACAACGCAATGCAGTGCCACCTTAGTCCAATGCCACATCAGCATGCTCTCATCACCAATCATACATTCCGCTGTATCCCACGGCTAATAATGTCGTTCGTAGCCTTCCGGTGCACCCGTCTCTACCCAGGGTGTGCACCTAGTGTAGCCTGACGTCACAAGTACCCACTGCGAAGAAGCATCGTCAACGCACCAAGTCTGTATAACGCCAGCATGCCAAAGGTAAGTGGCGATCAAACCA